AAAAAGTCTTTTTCCCCTCCCTTTTGAACTCTCTTTTGGCAAACAGAGACCGGTGAAGGTACTTATGACAAAGTTTCTAGTAGACCTCACTCGTTTTATATCTGCTTTATCATTGGCATGGTTTGTGAGGCGTGCCTAGATATCACCGTTTTTATCTCTAGTCTTTTCGTCGATTAACTCTCCCCCCTTTTTCTCGAGGGGTATTTGGTGAGACTGAGACCCTCAAGTGATAACATTCACATTAGCCATTGATATCCACATTCTAGGTTCTTGACACGAACAGTTTCACAGCGCGGACCCCATCGTGATGTAGATGATTGGGACACTGTTGAAAAAAGGAGAGGGTGTATGTTCCGTCACTGCGTCTTCTAAGGTCAATCTAACCTTGAAATCATACTTCATCTGTGTGTGAATCTTGGCTAGATAAGTAATCGCTGCTTAAATCCAGTATATCAATGGAGTCTCGCAAGACACCGGCGAGCCTTTCTATGCTCTCTTGAGACTCAACGATTACTTGGAGCTCAACGTGAACTTTTGCCAACAAGCCCAACTGTACAGTATCCAGTCCGGTGGCAATACCGAAGAAACTCGGGAAACTAGCAAACGAGCTTTCCCCACAAGTTTTCTTCTTGGGCGTTGAGATGCCAGCAGTCCTATATATAGTGCAAGTCCAACTGTCTACCTACGTTTGTACGCACGCAAATTACATTAATGAGAACTTCTTAGACCTTTTCACTAACAACGTGATACTGCGTGTCTGCGATCAATGTAATATGAGCCGAGCCGCGGGCATATTGGCGTTCGAAGGGTACTTTGTGGGAGGGGGGGGGGCTTGTCACTACTTCCCCGGGTTTCTTCAGTCCAACGGTTTATAAAAATCTACTGTGACATTCTGTCTTGAGTCACCATATGATGTCAGCTTACTACATCACTTGGGATAATGGTGCTATGGTGTACGTGCTACTTCACTGTACAGCGGAACAGCCAGGTTGACGCACGCTTGTATGGTAGCGAGTCGTGGACGAGGTTGATTAGACTTCCACTGGATTATACTCGCAAGTCACGGTGTGGATAGAGACCACAAAAGACATCAAAGTTCTCTGGTCGGTACACTATCACTTTGCGTTCCCTGAAGGTAAGATAGACAAGATAGACCTTGTGACCCCAAGCGTCTACCTCTTCCGAATTGCGCCAGCCGAGACCGAATTTGGGGAGGTCTAGACAGATGAAGATAAGGCCACAATGCTACATATATCTGAGGCTCTTATCATCAAAGCTGCTCCGATATATGAAGATGCTACCCGACAATTTCTCCTCAAGTGCAAGGGGTCTCAGAGGTGCTTGTGCGTCCGAAACTCGGGAATGTCGAGAACGAGCACCCTTAGTAATTCACTTCTTGGGCACAGATATACCAGCGGGTTAACGTAGGTACATCAAATTGCATATAGGCCCACGTTGTTAATACAAAGGGCCCAAATATTGCCAATTGTTGTAATTTCACCACACAGACCTGCTGGCATATTGGCGCCTGCCCAGGAAGGGAATTTGTGGGGAAGCTTGTTTGCGCGTGTCCCAAGTTTCTTTGGTAGGTAGCTGAGGTAGAGGTAAAACCCCTGGGCCGTATACTGCATAGAGGTAGTTGACGATCATGGACTTTTTTGAGTATGTCCGTATCCCGGTTTCGGGTTTGGTATCTCTCAGGCTGCTGCTGTCTTCATTTCTGCAAGTCGAGGCAGAGAGATGTTGAAAGAAAGCGGCGCAACCTGTGAGGCAGGTACGTGCCATGACCTAACATAGCCGTACCTGACTGCCCCTGCCTGTGCCTGGCGCCTCTGTATGCACCCCGCAAGAATAAGACCAGGAACGTCCGTGAACACTGCAATGAGCGGGGCCTTTTGCGGTACTACATTGTGAGAACTGGAAAGTGCCCCCAAGAGCCACAGGCCCCTTTGTACACTACGGCGGTCAATATCTTCTTACGTTAGTCCCAATTATAAGCTGGTCCGAGCTCCCAGCCGCAGAAAGTACCTACCTCTAGTTATCAGCCCTTTGTCATAGCTATGTTCGCAGCCGCCATACGAAACCCCATGTTTCTACCTCAGCAATGATCCTTTTCTATCATCCCTTTCTCATTTCCCCTTTCCTATTGTCTCGTTCTCATCGTTATGTTCTCCTTTGATCTCATGTCCTCAATAATCGGTTTGGATTTTCTTCGAGGAATAGGAAGGATCCAATTGCACTTTCACCTTGCCCCAATGAATTCCTCAAACCATCCCAACTCCAAAATTTGGGGAACTACACTAGTGACGGATCCATTTGCGCTGTGACGCAAACTCCCTGGCGTCCTGATTTGGCTACTGACTTTCGTGGACTCTTGTTAATTCATTGCTTCATTACTTTATGGCTTCATTTCTTCTGGGAGTTGGAGTCGAGGTTCAATTAGCGTTAGAGTTCGAGAGTCACCCCCTGCAGCTGACAGGGAACCTTCTTCAACCCAATTTTTTCCAATTAAGCCTAACGCAAACATTGACCGCCGTACCCTTGGATGTTGACCCCTTTCTTGACCGAAGATGATTCTTTGCCCCCCTGTTCCCCGTTGGCGGCTGATAAGAAAGAGGCAAAAAGAGGGAAATTGTCTAGTTTGGTTCCTGCCTAACTTCTTCTCGGATACTGCCACTGAAATATGGGGTAGGATTGAGCGGTGCAGGGGTCCCTTTTCAAGGGCCCAAATGTATTATTTTCGCAGTGATTGACTACGCTACGGACAGGTATCACCATTTCCTGTCCCCTGTATAGCCTCATGTCGACTCTGCTTGTCAACTCATCCTTTTCGGACTCGGTGACAAAATGCTCGGCGCAGAGACTGGGGGCCGTTCGTCCTCGGTTGTTCGGATCCTAAGCAAGTTTGAGGCATCTCTAGCATTGCAGATCCAAAACCCAAAACACTATTGGTTGTTGGAACAGCCGAAGACGAACGGCCCCAGTTTCTGCGGTACTACATTGAAGGATGGCTCTCATGCAGCGACTTCCTGTCACGGCTTGAACGGTCCTCTGCCTCACAAACAGATACATGGGACGTGAAGCTGGCCTTTTCCTAAGGAGGGTTTGAACTTGAGACCGGGCGGGAAAGCACGCGGTGAGAGCTTCACTGGAAGCCCAGAAAAGCAAGACAGCTGCTAATCGCTTTCCAGCTGCTTCCACATTTCCTTCACGTGGAATCGAGCAATATGGGGAGATATTCAAGGAGGAAGCCAGTTGGTGATCTTCGCACAGCATCACCACCGTAGGAAGGTATTGTCTTGGGTGATACGCGCGTGTTGAATCAGCAGCTCGGACTCGGTGGGAGTTGCATTTCATTCGGCTCCGATGGCTGGAGTTACTGAGTGCTCAGTAAGATCTCGTCAAGATGGGGATCCCCAGTTTGGAAACACCCTAACCTTATCCACGTGAAGCCCAACTCGGTTTTATTGCTCAAGTGCTTCTTTTTCATTGCGACCGGCAGCGGTTGTGGGGCTGGCCACTCAGAGCTCGAGTTGACCATGACCGCTTACCTCTAGGGATCTTGGGACATGGGGTTCATACCGTCTCTTTCTACCATGGAATACAACGACAACATTGAGACTGAGCACGACATTGTTCTTGCAGACGGACCGATGTCAACGCAGATGCTACTCACGTGGCATTCATCAGACCATCTGAACGTCGTTTGGACAGACGGGGCCGCCCATGTGAGAAAAGAACAGGACGGGAAAATTCAACATGACAGAAGTGCCGCCAAAAAAAAGCCCATCTTGCAGCTGGGCGTGCAGTGGTGTCGATGGCCTCCCGTCGATGGCCCGTCGATGGAACATTGCATTGATGGAGAAGCCAGGGCGAGATGGATTATGCAGGCCAAGCGTGGAGATGATCCCAAAGAGGTATAGCCGCCCTGGCAAAAGAAGCCACCAAGGCACCTGGCATGAGAGCCCGGTGCGTCTTGGGGACAACGAATCTGGAGATATGCTTCAGTTGGGCATTTAGTCTCATATTAACTGACATGAGAGATCAACCGGTTGCCGCCGTTCAGAGCGAAGTCCGAGTTGCACAGATCGTCATTTTCTCCAAAGCTGTGCCTGTTCAAAGTAGCTTCATCTTGCTTTTTTTTCTCTCTTCTCTTTTTTCCTCCACATCTGAAGAAGAGAAACCCATAATTCCCCGCAACAAACATCGTCACCACCCGCGCCGCCGTGGTCACCTGTCGTTCTTTGCGCAAAGTGACCTGTGACCATCCGTTTCTTTATATTGCCGTGATCTGTGTACCGCGCTGGCCGCGCTCAGCTAGTACCTATTCGTGGTCTTGCACCAGAGGCGGTTTCTACATCACACTGGATGTTTATTTACTCTTTCCGTGATATCATTTCCATCCAGAAAACAAACAGGCAAGATAAGATACATTAAAGGGTGAAGCGAGACCCTTTGGCAATTCGGTTGGGGATTGCTCATTGCGCTCCCCTCGCCCATCCCCACCGCCTCCGCCTATCAAGTAACAGCCGGCACGGGAACCCTCGTCTGCCCACCCCAGGACTTTCCAAGAGAAGTCGGTCGATTCCCGTTGCAATCTCCTTTTTCGGATCGCTCGCGGTCACTCTGCCCGCATCTGCCCGCCGAAAGACGCTGCCACTGCCACTGGACACTACTGCTGGGAAGTCAAAGTCGACCTCGCCAGCACAATCCCTTCGCCTCGGTCCTCCCTTTTTCCTCTCCTTCTGTTCGCACTCCTCCGGACTGCTTGTCACAGGACATCCACACCAAGGATCGATATTCGCACTCCCTTTGTGCTTGATCGCGTCCACGGCCTGGCACCACCCCGTATACATCCCGCCGTACACAAATACAGGACCCTCCTTGCTACACCTTACCATTACCCCCCGCGACAGCGATCGATCCTGGCCGGTCGACGAGAAAGAAGCATTCCAAACTAATTACTCTTATTTTCGCTCCCTCTTTCATTCATCCCAAACACTACCACTACTCCCCAGCCCTGCGCCGCCGGCTCCAGATACCGCTCAGCCTCGAGCCCAGCAAGTCTCGCACTCCCATCGTCCGTCACCTTGCAGTGACAGCCGACCCGAAATCAAGTCCGCTTTTCGCAACCACGCCTCAAAGAAGAAGCCGCCCGCCCGCTCGTGTCACATCACTGGGACCGATTCGGAACCCAGGGACGTCGGAAACAACAGGGAGAAAGATAGACTTTTCAGATTGAAAAGTGTCGCTAGGCCACGGCCACTTCGGCAACAGAACAGGAAGCGCGATCGAGCAGCAGCAGCAATCGATCTGGGAAGCAGTGCTTGCATATTTGTAGTGAACCATCCTTCACGGCATTTCACTTCAAGAACCTGCGCAATCGGGTTCGATCGAGTTCAAGGTCGAGCGCCAATTAACAAACACACACCGGCTGTGGCAGCGTTGCGTTGTGTGGCAAAACACAGCCCTTCACGACTCATCATCCAGTCGGAACCCGCGGCCGTTGGCTGATTCAGGTTCCAAGGGACATCTGAGATCGACCTGTTGGCTGCCAGTTCTTTTTATACTTGGCCAGGGACAAACCATCCATCACCTCCTCCCGGCAATTCGTCCATTCTGCAAAGCCAAGTGCGCAACCCGAGCTTCTTATCTGGTATGACGCGAGCCCACGGCACGGCAACCCAGAACCCCAAGACACTTTAAAGACGTGTATCACAGACCGCGCGTCCGCATCCCGCAGCACGCATCCGGAAGCGATACGGCACCATACGGCACCTGCTCAGATAGCTCAGACCTACCTACAAACCAGCGTTGGTGGCCACACAAACCGGGCAATCCAACAACCACCAGCATCAACACCAGCCGAACGACGTGCATACCTCTGCATTCCAGCAACCCTCCCCCTTCCCCCAACCATCACAAGTTAGCCCACCATGGCTTTTTTTCAGTCGGAGCAGAATGGTGAGTATCTGGTTTCCTTTTATATCTTTCCACAGAGCACCCGACCCTGGGCGATCTGCTCCCCCTTCTACCCCTTTCCCAAACACATGGCCCCCCGTTTGCATGGCTTTGTTTAGCGGCCCCCTTCAATTGCAGCAGAATAAAAACGGCCGATCCACACCCATTGGCATGTTGTGAAGGTTGCCGCTTTTCCCACTTCCCGGTTTTTTTTTGTCCATCTCTGTTCCATTGGAGGGTCTCGGCTGGTCTCTTGGCTGTCCTAGGCGCTGCCTGGGTTATCAGTGCGCTCCGCTGTTGAGTCCGCTGTGTCATGTCGAGGAGATTGCCGTTTCATATCCCTATCACAAGCGTCACTTGCATGCATGGTGCCGCTGCCCCTAAACCCACCTTTTCCTTCCTTGATTGATGGCTTGCTGACGCTTTGGGTTTTCCCCCTGATCTGGGATTTAGATCAGCGGTCTGCTGCTGGCTTGTCGCTCAATTCAAACAATCCTTTTCGCAACCGTGACCGCGCCTCTCCCACCTCTTCAGGACCTCAAGTATCTCCATTCGACGATCCCCCTCCAAGGCCTACCTCGCGGAACCCTTTCCTCGATATTGGAGCTGCCAACAGCACTCGTCCGACTGCACAAACCAACCGATCAGTTTCCGACACAATGTCTGGCTTTGACAAGAGGTCGTCTGCCACGGCCGAGGACCTGTTTGTAGGTTGCCCCCAATCCTCCCACCTGCGGCTGTAACAAGTCACAAGCAGCCCTCATTTGCGGGGTGCCATGGGGCCAGATTGATGTCGTACCGATTGACTGACATTTACTTTGTAGGCTTCCATCACGCTCGATGACAGACCTTCTGGCTCAAAGCCACCCCCGCCGCCGGTCGCCCGCCGACCTGTCCCTCTCCCAGTAGCCAAGTCCAGAGGACCTCCTCCCGCTCATCGCCCCTCTCGCTCTCAAGAGGAGGACGTTCGCTCCAGGAAGCCTCGTGGAAACGGAGGTAGCGGCACACTCATCGACATCGACTCTCCCCCGCAGCAGCGAAGAACAGAGAGGCGTCCGCGCCGGAACTCGGATACATCTGTCCTCGACTTGACCGAGGATGAGAAGGAGCAGAGGGCTCGTGATGCCAGGCGGCGTGAGCGTGAGCGTGAGCGTCGCCACCGTGAAAACAAGGAGAAGAAACCTACCAACCGCAAGCTCGACATCATCGACCAGCTTGATGCCACAAGTATTTACGGAACCGGAAGTGAGTTGTCCCAATATTCGAGTCTGCTCTCCAGCGCTAACAGAATTGATCAACAGTGTTCCATCACGATGGTCCATTCGATGCTCTTAACCCCCACCGGAACAAGAACGGAAGTCGACGTGCTCCTATGGAAGCCTTCCCTGAAGGCTCGTTGAACAACAGTCTGGGTGGTGCTGGACCTTTGAACCCCCGACCCGATCATGCCACATTCATGGGTCAACACGACGAGGAGGCCTATAGAGATTGGACTACCAGGGACAAGGGCCTTCCGTCCAAGAATGAGCTGCCCGTCTTTGACCCCACTTCCCGCGGCAGCGCCATGCACGGCGACGAGTCCCTGGGACTTGGCACTTCGACTTTCTTGGAGGGCACACCGGCTGCGCGTACCGCGATCCAGCAACGCCAGGACGAGCTTGCTCAGGAGTTGACTACCAACGGCCTGGCACGCAAGAAATCCCTTGCCCACCGGATACGCAACATCAACAAGAGCACCTCCCGCGAGCGAGAGTTCCAGTCTCTGGGCAGACTCAACAGCGCAGATTACGGGTACACAAGATCCCCCCCAGGCGAGGGTGGTAGAACTTCTAACAGCATGAATACCCCCAACTCTGAACGCAACCCCTTCTTTTCAGAATACAGCCAGGGCAAGGGAGGAGAGGAGGGCTTTAGTGTGCGGAAGACCGACAACAACAGCCCTAGAGGCAACATGGAGCGCCGGGCTACCACGGATGCGGCCATGACCCTCGAGGAAGGACAGCAAAAGCCAACTGGCATTTTGGGCCGCATGAAGAGTTTGAAGGGCGGACGGAGGACCCGTCCGGCTCCTCCCGGCCCTGACGCAGGTCCTGTGCCCTCGCAATTTGCGTAGAAACGAGGATTTTTGGGGTGAACGGCGAAATGGTTGACACGAGCTCGCATTAAGCACGAAGCGGAAATTTGCTGAGTTGTTTTACGCCAATATTTGACGTTAGGAATCGCGAAGCACGACATATGGCTCTATACACGGTCGCTGGGATCGTTCGAGCAGGACCTCCGTTCTGGGCAAGGGTTGTTTCTCGGTAGTCACATTGGAGGAATCGATGGCGGCATGCAGGAAAACTCCTGTACAAAAAAATTGCTAATGTTTTGCTTTTGGTGCGCAAATAATGGGAGGAGAGTAACAGGCGTGCTCGTTGGGACCGCCCCTCCTATGGTGCTCTTATTATCTTTCTTTTCTCTCTGTCTGTTTAGTTTTCTGTTAAAACGTCAATGGGAGTCGACGATTCCTTCTATCGGACGGTTGTTTTTCGCGGTCGTTCTTTTTTTTTCTTGCATTGTTTCCTCCTGCAGCTGCTTTCAACGAGAATCAACGCACAGTACCATACCAAGTTCACCTCGCACATGATTAAGGGCATTACCTTTGGAATTCTACGGTTTACTGTCCTTGAACGAACATGGAATAGTGTTTGTTGTATGTATGTATTATTTGAAATTTGAGAAAACGAATGATGGACTGTGGTACATCTAGAGATTTGCAATCATTGACTGATGGAGATACTTTGCCCATGTGTCGTGATAACTCGTTGCTACAGTGTCGAAGTTTTTCTAATTTGAGATTCTTGAAGCAACGCAATTTGCATGTTGTCTCCAACTCGCCCATTCTTTGCACGACAAATTTTGGTTTTCACCAAACAACCAAGTCCAGTCGCAAAACAAACCACGTCGAAACTGCTCTACAGTACCTGATGATAACAACCCCTCACGCAGCCCAACTTGATTTTTTTTTTTTTTTTCTTTTACGACGGAACAAACTCTTACCCACACAATCACCGAAACATCACCCTTCTTCGAGCCACACCATTACCACACAGAAACTATACTCGAGTGGAATGAAGTCATGACCACCATCCCCAAACCCACCAGCATCCGCAAAAACAGTAACCGCAACGCATCCCACCCATCGCACCTTCCTCCAACACCTCCAACCCTACATCCTCTCCCCGCCTCCCTGCTCCTCTCCCAAGATCCCAGACTCTCACGGCTGCAAACCCACGATCGCAATGACTTCTTCTCCACCGGCTGTCGCGAGCTCGACTCCCATGTCCTCCTCAACGCGGGACTCAATGGAGGAGGAGGAGGAGGAGGTTTAGGAGGATTCGAGGGGGGTTGTGTGGTCGGTCTAAGCTGTGAAGAAGAGGAGACGATTGGGTTGGCGATTGGATTGCAGGTTGTTGCGAGGATGCTGTTGATGTCGTCGTCGTCGTCGTCGTCGTCATCGTCGGGGTCAAAAGCAAAGGCGATGATCATCTCGACACTTTCCACGACTTCTTTGCTTCCTCGATTGAGATTGGCGCTGGTTAGTGAGGCTAGGGTGCTTCAAGGGAATGTCGGCAACGCACACCACCACCAGGTGGATAGAGGGGTAATCAAGAGTTGTTTGGAGAGGGTGTTGGTGGCGAGGGTTTTTGATGCGGAGGGGTTGAGGGAGGTTTTGAGGGAGTTGGAGGAGGTTGAGCAGCAGCAGACTGTTGTTAGCCATAGTGACGGGAATGAAGCCGGGAGAGGAGGAGGAGGAGAAACAGGAGAGAAAAGAACGGAGCAGAGCAAAGAAGACGGTCTACTACCAGACCTAATCATAATAACCAACACCTCCCACCTCCTCAACACTCTCTTCACCCGCAACAAGACCGGCAGCGATAGGTCCGCAGCGCATAACTCGGCCGTTCAGCTTTCTGATCAAATTCGTGGACTTAGTCGGAGAGGGCCGTTGGTGATGATGCTAAATTCGACTACCTCACCAACCTCTTCTTCATCCTCCTTCAATACCAACTCAATATCGATGTTCGACGACGACAACAACAACAACAAAGGACCAAAACAACCCGACCTCAGTATCATGCGCTCAATCTTCAACCCACCACCACCACCACCACCTCTGGCATCTATGGAGGCAGCAGCACCGGGGTACATGGGCGGCTTAGTCGGCGGACACACTGCTGGTGCGCCTTCTGCTGCAAGTTACAGAGGCGGGGGATATGGAGGACGTGGAGGGGGATACGGCAAGAACCATAGTACCCATCTTCATCCTCACCAAGCACAAACCCAGTCAGCAGCAGCAGCAGCAGCAGCAGTAACCGCGGCATCAAGAAGAAACAAACCCTCGTACGGAATGGTCTTCTCCCAGATGCTCGATTTACATTTATTATGCACCAAAATACCTAGGGGCAGGACTCGTCACGGCGGTGGTGCTTACGGAGGAGGAGGCTACGGAGGTTATGGTGGTGGGTATGTATGGGCAGTGGAGGTATTGCTGGATGAGCTTGGGGTTTATGAGGGCTTGGATGTGGTTTTGGACAAAGTTAGTAGAGAAGGAGGAGGAGGAGGAGGAGAAGAAAAAGAAAAAGAAGGGCAGGGGGAGCAACAGGAAGGAGGAAGGCGAAAGGAAGGGGTGCGAGAGGAGAAGAGGAAGGGGAAGGGGTTGACTAGAAGGAGTAGGGAGCAGAGATGGGGAGCTGTGGAGATTGAGGAGGGGAGTGGAAGGGTTGTTGATGCTTTTAGATAGGGGAGTTCGGGGAGGGGGAGGTTATGGAGGGGAGTGCGGGAGGAAGTGGTTGTTGGGAAAGTTAATGATGCTCGCATTCTGATGGATTATGCAGGAGATTTGACATCATCGAAAGGAGTTGCCTCTTTGATATCTGGCGTTTAGATGTACAAGACAGACCCCTAAAGGATTTCTCGCCGCTTTGTTACTTGCGTTTAATTTGCCTTACCAACGGCGTTCAATTTGAAGCCCAAGAACCATATATTATAACAACTCCACGCGACAAAGGAAAGTAAGAAGTGAAGCTAAAAAACAAAAAACACACAAAGGGAACAAGATCTATCTATCCCACGAACTGATCACACTCAAGTCCACAACTCTCCATCATCCCTCTCCTGACCAAACAACCGGCCTTACCCCCCTAAGCCGGTATAGTCCAAGCAACCAAATCCTCCCTTACCTCAAACTCATCCACCTGTCTCGCTTTTTTATACCCACCATAGCCATACGCTCCTCTGCCACTCCCACTTCCCACCCCACTACCAAGCGACAAAGTCGCCAGACTAGCGCTACTATCACTCCGATCGCGTCCCCTAAAACTATCCATTCTTCCAATATGACTTTCATAGCTTGGGTGTTTGTCTCCATCCGTGATCACAACTCCTCCCAGAGAAGCAGCGTCTTGAAATTGGTAGGGGGAGTTCAAATGGGGAGAGGGAGTAGGGGGGCCGACGGGAGCAGCGGGGGAAAGCATCTTGCCCAGGTCGCGGAAAGCGGGGGAGAGGCCGTTGTTGAGGGAGGTATTGATTTTATTGACGGTAGAAGCGGAGGTCGCGGGGCGGTTGTTGTAACCATTGCTGTTGAGGAAATTTGAATTGTTGTGGTTGTTGTTGAGGCTGTTGAGCAGGTTTCTGAGGTTATTGGCTTCGTCTGCCGCTCCCCGGGGGTCCCGGGTGAAACCGTAGTTGTTGATGTTATACCAGTTATCTTTGTCGGCGGCGCCTCCTTCTTGGTCGTTTTGTTGTTGCTGCTCCGTCATCATGGTTCGAATGCTCTTATCACTCGTTCCGCTGTGGTGGCGGATGTGCCGCCTTATGCGAGCCATGCTTCCTGGGGTTTGGGTTCTTGAGGGGGCAGCGGTTTGTGGGCGGAGGGTATCTTTGTTGTAATTACTGTTGCCGTTGCTACCGCTGTCTTCGTCTCCAGAAGCCGAGCCGCTGGTGGGTTCATCGCGGTGCCGGGGGTGGCGAGATCGAGCGGAACTGGCGCTCGGGGTGCGGAAAGTGTTGGATCTATTTGGTCCGGGAGTTGTTGGTGCCACCGGAGTGCCACCCAGTCCTATGGAAATGGCAGCCGCGAGCTTGTCTCGCTGGTCTCGGTAGTACTGGCCCGAGGTGGAGCGGAAGTGGTGGCCGTGACCTCCTCCGAAACTGTGCTTCTTCCGGTGTCCCGCACGTAATTCACCGTCTCGATCCCCGAAGCTGTGAGCGTTGTTGCTGTACCCGCCGCGACCGCGCGTGATGGGCGAAGGGGTGTTCGCTGCTGAAGACATGTCCGTTCGGAACCCGTCGCCTCCAGAGAAAATATCCTCGATGCACTGGTCAGCTGTCAGCTCGCCCGGCTGGGATTCCCAGCTGGCAGCCAGCACCCGACGGTAGCAGTCCTGCAATTCAAACACGTCCCGCGACTTGTGGCTGAGACTGGGTAACTGGCCCAGTGCCAGGTCGGCCGCGGCTTGATGGTGGTTGCGGGCGAAGTTGTGGGCGTCGGCGTTAGGGTCCAGCACGTCGCCCGCCACGAGGCCGGCGATGCCACCGAAAACGGGAGCCGTCTTGAGCGGCGGGGCGATGAAGTTGCGCTCGCCTTCGACTTGGATCATGAGGATACTGATCTTGAGTGTTGAGTTGATCTTGCTGTCCTGCATCAGGTAGCGGCGCACCACGCCGTCTTGGACGTCCTCTGCCGGGGTCGCCGTGGTTGTTGTGGCGAACGTCTTGGTGGTCATGGCTGTCATGGGACGTTCCTGCTCCTTTTCCTCTGCATCAGGCCGTAGATACTGGGGACTGTTAGCGTCCGCTGGTGCTGGTGTTACCGCGCTTAGTGAGCTGCGATTACGGATGTGCCCGAACCGGAAATCGACCGCTGCCGGGCCACCCGGAGATCCGAGAAACGGAATGAAGCCGGCTCCAATACCATCTCGGAGGATCGTTTCGCTCTCCTCGACATACTCGGCTAGATTGAGGCGGACGACACCTAGAGTGGTTTTCTCTTCCCGGGCCGGAGCTGGGCCATTGCCGTTGACTGTGCCATTGGTGTTGAAGAGCTGCAGAACCTCAAACTCGATGGGGCATTCCGTGAGGTTGTTGTTACGATCGACAGCGATGCGGATAGGGATGACCTTTGAGTAGCTGTACTCAACTCGGTGGTTGGCAATGGGGCATTTCTGCGTCTTGCCACGGTGCTCCGAGTGAATGCTATGTGGGAAGTGCCATTTGATCAGGGACCCTCCAGAGACCAGTGGCACATTGTTCAAGTCATAGATCTGGGGCTGGAGTTAGACGACGACCTAAACCGAGGTTCAAATTGTGGACGACATGCCTTGAGGTGTAGTTCGAATTTGGGCTAGAGTCAAGGTATTAGTACTGTGTGTCCCTGTAGGTAGGAAATGGGTCAATACGAACCTTTTTAGCCTTGCCGACTAGAGGAATGTGAACCATAATATCAGCTTAACGGGTCACGACCAATGGATAGTTTGAAGACAGATTCAGCGTGTTCAAGGAAAGGTTCATTCCATAATGCTGGAAGTGCAGGTAGACAAGATGCAGCAGCGTCATGCACAGCAGGACGGACGTTCATAGTCGGGTAGGGTTTGGGGTGAAGGAGTGATGATGAGCTGGAGATATTGATGGAGGGGAGTGTCCGCATTGAGACGAGCGGGAAACTGCGAAGGTGGGAGGGTGGGTGGGATGGAATGAAGCGGAAGCCGGATGTGATGAAAGGAACAAGAGGGAGGAAGGCTAGTCATGCTTACTGAGGGCTGCCATGTCTACATGCGTCGGATTCAGCAGGTATTTCCGTCGGCCGTCTCCAAAGTACGGTACGTGGTCTCAGGACTGTAACTGTACCGGACCGTTCGATCCAGGTTCCCGTGGTTGAGGCCGACACAAAGGGGCGCCGAGGTTCCCTGCCGCAACGTGAGCGTTCCCTTCTCGGACCAAGTCGGCGATATCGAGACTCCAACAAGGCAACAGCGGCAACGGGACTCGGAAACAAACTCTCAGGTCAGTGAGAAAAGTGAAAAGCTGGAGTTGTGCCGTTGAGGCGTGTCAGGGATGGCTTGGCATGTATCGCGGACGAACACAGTTGTAACGTAAGGTATTCCGTATTACCCCCCTATCGACCAAAACAAGACAACAAGACAGCAAAGACCTAAGATGTGTGTGTGGGTGAATGAGAACTTTGGACTGCCGGTTAGTAATGCTTCCATGACAGATTCTGGAAAAAGTCCTTTCTTTAGCCCAACGATTTTCCTGGGCATATTTGTTTTACGCCCGCGGCACCACGGATATGATGGATGGATGTCCAGGCAGCCCCTTAAATTAAATGAACTAATGTCAAACGGGCATGGCGATGAGGATAATGGTGTCCATTCGCTTTGCGGCCTCACTCCGTCAATTACGACTCTGGAGAACTAACTCTACACACTCACCACAAACTGTTCCTACAGTAGTCTCATCAGGATAGCGGAGGTGATGTTGGAACAATCCGGATGTTCGAGACTGGGGAATGCCGAGCTTCCCAGTCTGGGCTCCGGCTGTGATGCTGGGGGGGCGAAATGCGGTGTTACGCCACTGAAGGGACCGCCAAGAGCGCTGTCCAGGATGCCGCGGAATCGTCAAGGAACGGGACCTGAGTTTGGACATTCTCCCAAGTGGGGACACCTTCCCCGCTAGGACCCGCTAGCTGATTGACTGATAAGCCCGATAAGAGCTTCAGAAATTCCTCATTCGTTCCTTGTCTGTCGGCGCCAGTGATACAGTCATTGAGCAAGACCTGCCCGACTCCAATTCCTCCAAGTAAAACACCACCACCACCCCAATCGGGCACCTCCATGCGCCGGATACAAACAACGCCAATGTTCAAGGAACCATAGGTACCTCTAGTCGCCATGGATAACAACAAAAAACAATCCGCCTCAGGCAAGGCGGCGGCCGATTCCAAGAAGCGCAAGGAAGCCCCATTGAATCAGAACCAACAAGGCAAAGAATCGCGTCCTCCAGCCCGGCCACAAAAACGCGTCAAGTTCCAAGATGCACGCAACATTCGCAGCCAGCCTTCCGACGCCGCCCTTGACGATGGAAAGCTGGATCTCCAAAAGTTCCTCAATGCCCGCGAATTCGAGATCAAGGCCCTCGAGACGAGCATGCGAAAATGCAAGAGCGCCAACGCCACCCGGGTGTTCCAGCAGGTCCCGCGCGAGATGAGACGGCGGACGGCGAGTCACAACGCTAAGAGAGTTCCCAAGAGGCTGCGCGACAGAGCCAAAAGAGAGATGATAGAGGACAACACACCGACCGTCGAAGCGAGGAAACGACGGCCACGTACAACACGCGCCAGGATACGTGCCGAAAACGCAAAGCGACTCGAGAAACTGGCCGCAAAGAAGAGGAAAAGAGCGTTGCAAAATGAAGCCGGGGGAGAGAACAAGGACGAGCCCGGAAAGACGACAATCCAGACGAGAGCCCCGAGACCCAAGATACGACGTGATACCCTGAACGAGCCCCCGAAGCCAAAGTCCAAATTCAAAAAGAGACAGATCAACAAGACCTGGCTCCCTACCCATCTATGGCATGCCAAACGAGCGACAATGACCGAGTCAACCAAGCCTCTGTGGCGATTCGCGATCCCTTTGACCCCGACGCAAAAATGCTATCGACCGACCCACCGAGCTTCTGGACAAAAGGGAACTGTTTTCTGGGATACAAGTTACATGAGCACGGTCAGGCTCTATGGAGCAGCGGGAGGCATTGAGCAGGTTCTCAAGGCACTAGGGCTGGTTCAGGAGAGTCTATGGGGCAACCGTGGCAGGAAATGGAGAAGTGGTACGAGGACATGGAGCGGTATGGTGAGCAGACGGCAAAGGAACTCGAGAAGGGACATCGGGCCTGCTACGATATTATGGAACCCCATCCCGACCGCCGAGACCGCTGCGCCCGAGTCAAACACTACCGAGCTGAAGAAGACTCAACGACAAATCTTAATCAGGACACACCCCTCATGCTTCCTTGAACTCTTCGACGAGCTGGTTAAGCTCGCAAAGCTGCAGACGCCCCAAGTTCACATCGAGGACTTGCGTTTCGAAATCGGTAGCATCGAGCTTACCGGACCCGGTTCCACAGAGACGTTGCTTGCTGTGCTCCAACCATATCATACCGAGGAGCGCCATGGGCAGGTTTTCTCCTCTCTAGTTGGGGTAACAAATCCCGCTTCTCTTCCTAAAAATGCAGTACTGGGCTTTTCAATCAAAGACCCGCGATTGTCGTATCCTCCCAAGCGGGTCGACACCGCCAGCAAGGTGAGCGATTCTGCTCTGCTTGATACTTTGACACAATGGCCTGTTGAGGAACAGGTGAAGCCATATGGGCTCTTCGACCGTGATGTTCGCTTCAAAGCTTCCAGTCTACCACCACAAAAGTCCATCAATCGCCGAAAGGGCGCCAGTATCCCAGGGCAAGAGATGCAAGTCACAGCAGCGGACCCTCCTATACCAGTCATCGCGTTCGCCTCCAGACCGGCAGCTGGTGGTCAGGCACAGGGGACATGGACGCTGTTGGCGCCATGGAAATGTATTTTGCCGATATGGTACAGCATTGTCCATTATCCCTTATCCACTGGAGGCAATCCTCGGCTAGGGGGGTTGAATGAGCAGCGGCAGATTGCTTTTGAACAAGGGACTGCCTGGTTTCCTGGGGATTTTCTTGGGACGAATGCGGGTGTTGTATGGGAGATGGAGCAGCGCGCGCAGCGCAAGAAGGCCTGGGATCGGCGACCGAAGGGCAGGCGCATTGAATGGGCCTCGCTGGATCTCGGCGCTGGACGAAAGGGCGAGATTGGAGATGGCTTAGCGTGCGATTTTGAGCATCTATTCGGTTTGCCCACGGATCCTTCGCCGAGCTCATCCGAGGATCAATCAACCTCGGATGTCGATCCAAATGCAATGGACCTTCAGCCTGGGGAAGAGGCTGAAGCTGCAGCCAAGTTGGGGAAGGTCCACAAAAATACAGTGCCGTCTTTGACGACGATTGAGCAGATGAAGAAGACAGAGTTTCAGGCTCTTATCTCCTCGGTAGATTCGGGTAGACCTCCCCCACGGTCGATCATATCAGTCAACATCACATTTGTAACCAGAGGCGTTGCAAACGCGTGCGCCAGGATATATCGTCTTCCATCTCGGCCTTCAGCAACGACGACCGTCCCGTCGTCGGAGGCGGAGGTACCCGCTACTGATCCGGTTGCGGCCGGCATGGGATCTCTACCTGCGGATCTCCGCGATCAATGGCTTCAGAAACTCCCCGGCAATAAAAGCGGCAGCAGGTCTACCAAAGTCACCACAGCACACGCAGCACCACATATGCCTCGCGACGTCGGTCAGGGTACCCGGAAACAATTAATGGCCAAGTCTCTCCTGTCCGGGGATCCATTACCCTACCCTAGGCCTACAGCTAATCAGACAGACATTGGCGGTGGCCATCCGCTGTGCCCCGGCGAGGAGGACTTGATCGGGTTCGTGACGGCCGGGGCATACAGCCTTAGCGAGGGCAAGGGTACGGCGGTTGGGGCAATCTCTGCCGAGAAGGCGTTTGATACGGTCAAAGAGTCGGGCACGAAAGAGGGAAGGCTCTGTATTGTGAGAAATGCCGGGGAGAATGTGGGCTGGCTGGCTAGGTGGGAGCTGGTGTGAAAACAAAGTGAGATGTTGAGATGAGATGATACTACATGATAAGAGATGTGGTATCGATGAAGATACCTGTTAATGGACGCGGCTGTCGATATCGATAGTGGGCGGGCTGCAAGCCATGAAAACTCACCGAAATGAGGTCTCAAAGAAGAAAAGTGAAGGTGATGAAGATTTGTTGAAGAATGGGAATACTCTGTAGTTTGCTTAAACCCTGTCTCGGCTGTTCAGATACCGAAGCTTCGGGGAATTGGGCTAAATAAACCGGTCGACGGCGAGCTTTTCTCACAGTGGTATTTACGCAAGTCTAACCAGCGTCCATGTCATCGAAAGCTTTCGATGCCACAAGCCTGATGACCAACGCTACGCCGCTTAGAGTCATTCAGCTTTACTCTCCCGCCTCTGATAAGAACCGTCTGAGTTCCGAGACTTAACATAGCGAACTCTCTCAGCATAACAGTTATCGGGGAATAAAATCTATCGAATTACAAAACACAGGCAAAGTTACATTCTTGCTAGTCTCCCACGATCACAATACATGTACGATTAACCGTGACATCGCCTAGACAATCACGCAGTTCCCCTCCGAAAGTCGTAACTCGTTAGTCTCAGTACCTATGCTCTGCACATCCCCATTGTCTAGGATTACCGAATGGTAAACCTATCGGGAATTTACCTAGTGGAATCAGTAAAATCCGGGCAGGCCACGATGCAAAGTCTGTGTGTGTGTACATAAGCCGAGATGTACAAGGCAATTTCAAAAAGTCTGTTAGTCCAAGTTTCCTTTTTCGTTAGGCCTTGTCCACGGGGGTGCAGAAAGCGGGAAGATCGTCGTCGGTGGAACCAAGATTTTCCAAATAGTGGACATGGACATCACCAAGGCCCATCCATTCCCGCTGCAGCCTTTCGGCTTTTACATTGCTGTAAAAGATACCCGTCTCTGGGGGGAAACCAAGAGCCTACCTAGGTATGCACTACACCCCGGCGCTGTTGGCCGGCTGGGGAGAGTTTTAGTGCCCAACTGTCCCCATGACAGTCTCACCTTATTTAACCAACTCGCTCATGAAAAAAAAAAAAAAAAAAAAAAAAAACATTGTCGATAACAGCCCGGGGCAAGCTTCCCAACCAACCAACCGGGAGGGAATGGGTTACTCGCTTCGGTTGATAAGAGACAAAAGTTTGTTGAAGACAGCCCAGTAAAAAAGCAAAGTCAAAAGCCGGGGAAAAAAAAAAAAAAAAAAAAAAAAAAAAAGGAAGGACGGAGGTCGGAAAGACGGATGCAGCCGCTCGTTTTGGCTGAACGAATTGGGGTGAATGGATGATCTTCAGCAACAACAATATATGTAAGAAAGCTGAATGCATGTCCTATCAATCAATGTACACTAGCCCGAAAGTTGGCTGTCTGTCTGTCTGTCTGTCTGTCTGTCCGCCTTTCAGCTAGCTGTTGCTTACTACACTAAGTGTAGTGCTTGTTGGTCTGCTGCACTACCAAAGCGGAAAAGCTTTCAAAAGAAAGGAAATTTGGAATTCTTGTCCTCCGTCAGTCTTGGTTGTGTTACCAATCTGTTAGTAAAAAGGGAAAAGGGAGGGGTCCATAATCAGTTATTTCTGTTGGCGTTGGCGTTGTTGTTAGTGATTTCTACGATTACAAACTGGCTGGCTGGCTGGCTGCCACAGCTCGTACAGTATATACAGTTCTGGGGTTGAACAAGCTCTACTTTACACACGTACTACAAGTAAGTGAGCAAGGGAAAAGAGGGAACAATACCGACTGTGAGGTCGGGGAGGATACCGCGAAGGTGAAAAAAATGATGGCTCATATTCACCTTGAGGTGTTGAGGTGAAAATACAGAAAGGACTCGCTGAGACTTTTGTCCTCTCTACACTACCTACTTTAGCATAGAAGAAGCCCACTTGGTGTGACCATGTATGTAATACCTACCTATCCTATCCTATGATTCTATCACAAGACTCTCTCACCAAAGTGGGATGAGCCGCTACTTGAGTCGCGTTCGAAAGTCAAAACCGCCATCGTCTGTCGTGCGAGCGCGCGCGCGCTGTCGTGTGACGAGGACTGGTGGGGCTGATGGCCCTTGACGGTGGAGATGTGAGATGACGGGCGTCAACGCAATGGTGCGACGGACGAAATTCGGTGCAAGCGGACGATGAAGGGTGTCATGTTGGATCAAAATCGATCTCAATTACTTAGACTAGGTAGGATAGGTAGTGGGCCTGCACTATCGTGACTATCCACCCCCGGCCGTGACGGCGACAACGACCTCCGCTGGATGAAAGCGTAGGAAGCTGAGATCGCCAGATTGAAGGCCGGAAGATGTACGGGTATAAGATACTGGTACCTGGCGCTACGGAGAATGGGGAAAAGGCAACCTAAGACATTGACAGCGGTCCTGGTCGTATGTTGACAATGATGACGATACTTCAAATGGCCGAACTTGGCAAGAAAGCCTCAACAACCTCCCTCCACCTTGCAGATTTGCAGGAAGGATTTGACCTTCCAAGATGCCATCGTTTCCTTCACCTCTTGTTTGGGAAGTCGGTCTTCAAAGGGCTTTTTTTTCCTTCCCACTTGGCGAGCTCCGTGGCTCTTCTTCCAAGGAGCTGCGGACAGAAGATCAAGTTTTTCGGAATCAGCAAGCTTTTGACGGGGCATTTCTTCCATCATCAAAGACCAATCGAAGTTGCTGTTCGGTCCCGAATCTGTTCCCTTTTTGGTTGCTTGTGTGGTGGGAAACTCGTGTCGTTGGGCTGAGGCTCTTTTGGCGTTGCTGTCTTTCTACTACATGTAGTCATACGGACAGAGAGGCGGACTTGAGTTCCTCGACCTCGACCTTCCATTGTACAGTTCCCATCTTGGCCTCCCCTGCTGCCAGTTGTAGAATACGAGCACGAGCAGGGGTATTGATTGAGTAGAGGATGTAGACTATGTATTATATAGATCTCTATATTGGGTTAATCCCTCACACAGAAAATCTAGTATTAAAAGGTTGCCAGGGATGCCAGCTTATGTAAGGTACTAGGCTGGCACTCTGGTTACCTCTAATATCCGATATACCCCCCTAGTTGAATTGGAATTTAGGGAGGCTATTGTCTTTTGAAGCTATTTATAAATTTTACACCCTTCCTATCTCTTTTCTAGTAGTTACCTTTAAAAGTATTGCCTATTATTATTTCTCTATTAATAGGGAAAATTAGTAGTACTCTTTTTAATAATAAAATTACCTAGTCCTGTAGTTTAATAGTTAGAATATTAGGGTATTATTTTTAATTATTTGCTTACTATCTTTTAAATATATTTATTAGTATAGTTAGCGGATTATCTTTAAATAATATACCCGAAGGTCGTAAGTTCGAATCCTATCAGGACTAAACTTTTTGACTTTTTCCTCCTTATACAATTGAATTACTATATTAGTGCCTCTCAATTTTTGGAAATTATTTTAACTATATAGTATAAGAAGGTAGTTTATACTTATAATAATCCTAACCTATATTTTTATCCCTTAATCGCTTTCTTTAACTAATCCTTTTTATTGATTATAATTAGATAATTTGCTTCTATTATTACTAATTTTCTCTTCTCTCTTTATCTCTCCCTAATATTTACTATATTAAATTGCTTTATAAATTCTTAATACTTACGCGCATTAAATGCTTTAATAAATTTATTGGCGATTATTTTGCCGGTGGGGATATAGTATATATTAACGATACTATACTATTAAGCTTCTTTAAATTAGTAGTTATAAATATTGATGTATTTGAATTTAGTTTAGAGTTTAGAATTTTCTTTAGTAATAAAGTGTATTATTTATTTATTATTATAACCGAGGGGGATAATTTCGATTTTTAATCGGAGGGTAAATATGTTAAAAAGTTTTTTTATTTATATACCTTCTTTTATTTCTTAGGCGAAGGATAATAATTCTATTTTAATTATTAAAGTAGTAATAGTATTTTACTTATTAGTACGCTAATCGATTATATTATTAAATAATTATATTACAAACCCTTAGAAATTTCTTTGATTATTAGTATTATTAATAAATGATGCGTTAATATAAATTTTAAATTTGTTACCTCCTCCTAATTGGAGGGTATAATAATTAATACTACGAAGGTACGCTTTTATTCGTTCGACCGTTGAATAATAAGTTGGTTTAGGGTTAATTAGGAAGCGAATTAATTAGAATAGTATAAAAGTAATATTAAGTTTAGTAATAATAGAGAAATATAGAATTGTACTAATTGTTTATTAATACGATTTAATTGTATATTAAGTAGAGGATTAAAGCTAAGAAGTAAATTTTTTAATTATTATAGGGGTATTAGAAGGTTTCTTCCTCTATTTAATTCTTTCGGTTATTTTGAGAATATATTTTTATTAGGATAGTTAGAGTAGGTATTATAAGTAGTTTTGAATAATTTTAATATTTAAAAATTATTAGATATTTTAACTATTAATTAATTAGTAGTATTATTTAAGAGTAATATTTATTCCCTTTACTAACGGCGAATATTTTGGTTTGTAAGTGAAGATAATATTATTAATATAGAAGAAGATAATTATACTCTCTTTAATTAGTATATATAGTTTTATAAGGATAGGGGTAAAGCCGGCTTCTATAAGAGTTTTAGTAAACTCTTTTTATTAAAGTAGTAGGGAGTACTATAATTTGTATAGCGTACGTAGTAATTTTAATACTTTACTTTTATATTTCTAATTGCGTAGTAATTTTATATAAATAGTCTTATTTAATACTATGTTAATAAAGGTATTAACCGTATTATATTATTTAAATTCGAGATTAAAGTAGACGGCGATAGTTATTATAATTTTAAATAATTAGATTATAAGAATAGTAATGATACCGGACCAATGTATCTACATAGATTTCTGGTGGTGAAGGTCATGGACCTGCCCCTTCCCGGCAGGCACTTGCCTGCCGGGCTCGCGCTTCACTTCACTTAGACAGGCCCGATAAGATAACGACTGCGATGGGATATATCAACCCCATCTTGAAGCAGTCGTTCTCATCAACCTTCTTAGAGGACATCATCCTTCACAATACATTATTTTACCCTACTGCTCCCGCATCAAATGGTAGCTGCAACTAAAAAGATTTA